GTGGTGGGAGGGGGTGGTTAAAGGCGGGAGGAAAGAAGATGGAGGGGGAGGGGGGTTGGGGAATTGTTCAACTTTACATTTTGCCGCACGAGATATTTGGGGAATGTAGCGATGCGATGATTTTTCGAACCGGAAAACTCGTGGCGGATTTTGTTGGAACTTTTTTTTCGAGAATTTTCAAGGGAGGTGGCAATGCTGCCGGGGTTTGATATGTCATACGCAGGTGCGGGGGAGGATACTGGGATGGTGGCTTGGTTTTGGGGAGAGGGGGACGTGGTGCGTGACAGGTAACGTAATACAGTTTCATTTATAGAATTTTTACCTCGCGGTGACGGGAAACATGGATTTTTCACTTGGGAATGCTCGATGTACATTATAGAATATTCTCGAGTGTTCGAGAATATTTTTGAGGCTTCTACAAAGTTTGAGGATATTCTCGGGTTTTGTAGGAAGTTTGAGAATAACTGCAATGAAAAAAAAATACCTCAATGGTTTCGACATTTCTAGAACACCCGCGAAGTCAAGAAAATTTGGGGGTTTTTCCAAGAAATTGAGAAAATTTATGGGTGTTCTAGAAAAGTCTTAATTGCAGGAATTCTCAAAAATCCTGGTATTCTAGTTTTTCTTATTCTGCCCGGGCGGAATTTTCTGTTGGAATGATCTGAAAATCAATAAAGTACTTGATTTTTTATTTAAATTATTCCGTGAAAATTCTGAAGTCAGGAAAATTCAGGAAAAAATTGAAAATTCATGTCATTTTTTTTCTGAATATTCATGTTTCATTGGAAATTCAATCTAGTTGTGAAATTTTCATCTCACTCCCTCTGAAGACTCATGAATTTCGTTGAATTCTACCTAAAACTTGAAATTTCATAACCATTTTTTTCCTAAATTCGATTCAATGTCACTCTCTCACTCTTTCTAACAGTACGGGCCGCACAGCTAGTAAATGAATATAGTGACTAAAATCAGAAAAATAAAGAGAGAAAAACTTCTGTATTATCCATCAGGTCAATCTCCATTTCGAGGAAATAAGTGGTTTGTTTTCACTGGGATAATTTCAATTGAATGAAGGAAACACGGAAGAGCTGAAGGGTCATCCCTTTAAAATATCATTCAAGGAGAAATTAAATTATCTCAGGTAAACTGAACTGAACGTTGAGGTTGATCCGTGATAACAGACTTTTTCCAGTTTTTGTTTCGCTTTTAATCAAAGAGCTCACAAATTGAGGTCGAGTGAATTGATAAAGAATATTGCATTTTTAAAGTTGAAGTGATTCAATTGGATTTTGCGAGGGATTTTAAACTCTACTAGAGTTTATTAAAATCAGGGTGAAGTGGAGGAGCGATATTTCCCTCAATATTGACAGAGTTTGAATTGGTTTCTATAATTCATGGCAAATGCTTTCTACATCATGAAAATGAGTGGTAAGAGGTGGAATAACGGGTTGCTTCAGGGAAAACTCTCCGATTCACCGGAAAAAGGAGCCTCAGTTGTTGGGAGAACATCCATCAAATCTCATAACTCATGATTATAAATTTGAACGGGTGAACAATTCATAAATAATGACAAGTGCACAGAGAGAAATTTTTGATAGAAATTATCCTACCGTTCTATAAAACTGTATCATGAGTCATCGTTTCCTCATTTCTATCCCGGAATTTAGTAAAAATAAATATATGATGATCAAATTTTATTCTAGGTTAGAGAAATTTTATCCTGATAAAAATAAAAATTAACGTGTCGGTAGAGAAAAAATTACTGTACTGGTAGGGTAAAATTTACCAAACGTTCTAGAATATTCGTTGTTATCTACGTAAAAATTACTGGACTGGAAGGATAAAATTTTTCTAACGTAGAATTAAATTTGATCATCATATATTAATTTTTACTGAATTTCGGGATAAAAATGAGGAAACGATGACTCATGATACACTTTTATAGAATGGTAGGATAATTTTTATCAAAAGTTTCTTTCCATGTAGTGTTAATAATTGAGAAGCTCACTAACACCACCAAAATCCTCGTCAGTGCAGGCCCAAAACAGGCATTTCATCTCCGACTCAGGTCAAGTGAAAGATCACTCTTCCCACCCAATTTTCTACCCCCTAAATGGCATTTCCACGCGGTAATCCCAATAAAGCTCCCGCTAAAAAAATCCCCCGAGTGTTCCATCACCTTCAAAACAAATATCACCCAACAAATCACCAGCCGGAAAAAAAATACCCGACATTACCCGAAAATTCTAAACACCAGAATTCCCCTCTTCCAAAACCAGAAAACTTTGATGCAATAAATAGCCCCTCGTAACTCACTATTCGCCCACTTATTTGCACGAAAACAAAAAGCAGAATAGTGCCCCGCTATATCCTTTGTAACAAGTAAAGTTTTCCCACCCACTGGTGATTTGTCCATGTGAAAGCTGAGATCCAACTACCAAGGCAATTTGGTTATTGCTCGTTTCTCGGATTTAAACTCCCTCTTGCGCCTGTCACTCCTTGATAATGCCTCGTTTCTCCCTCTGCATTTGCCACCGTTGTACAGTGGCAGAACAGAAATCTTCGACTAAGTTAGATAAATCCGCTGGGGCAGGGTGAAAATTAACGCCCAACAAAGATGAAATATCGTGTGAAAGACAATAGGATAAAACACGGGAAACTGAATACGTGGATGGGGCGTCAATTCGACGCCTTTGCCAGTGGATTTTGCGTGATTTATCAAGGGTCTCCGGTGTATATCCAGGGAGGGAGGATGATTCAACTCGAGACACCTGAGGAAATATTTTTTTTTCCCCGTTTCTTATCCGTCACCTTTGTTACGATTTTCCACTCTCCGAAGGGCATTTTTCAACTCCATTGTCGGGTAATCGATTTCCGAAGCCCATAATACTCTTTATACCCCGCAATTGTTGGGATTAATCAATTCTTCATGGAGCTTTCAACGCTGCGGCGCTCAATAGCTGTTGTTAACACCCGTCAGTATTTTTTGTTTCAACTCAATTTCATGTTTATTGATAACTACCTGCCGCGGGCATTATGTAACGGTGATTATTTGAAATTACGAGGGGGGCGGGGGCGCATTGATGGGTGCGGCATTGTTTGCAGTGATTCAGACAGAGGTTTTGTTGCAAAATGTGGGGTTTTATGCGAAGTGATTAATAGGGGGTGGGAATGAGGCTCTCATGTACCCGGATAAAGGGTTCATTTGGATCAAATAAAAATCTTTTTATTTTATTTTTTTAAGGATTTCAGGAATTTCGTTGTTAGAAGTGAATGAACTTGTTTAGTTGCTTCAAAGGGAAGGATTTAATTATATCAAATAAACAATTTATCAATTTGAAATTAAATTTTTGATTAAATCATTCATTAATATGAAATCAACAATTTATTCATTTCAAATGAAGAGTTTTCATATTTTGGAATGTACACACAGGAAAACCTAAACGTAAATTACGCTTTGCTGGGCATAATTTACGGTTTGCTAAACGTAATTTACGCTTAAGGATATTCAAGTACTTTGTTTAAGTCAGCACCTTTTTTCGAACAGTATTTCACTTTTGAAATCTTGCTTGAAATGAACAAACAAAGCGTCCTTTACGTTTCACTGAGCGTATTTTACGCTTAATACATCGTAAATTATGATCTTAATATACACGTATTTTACGATTTACTTTTGCGTAATTTTCAAAAAAAAAAAATTGTATTCTCTGCTTGAAATAATTTTCTATTTCATCGTCGTTAATGACGAATAGGAAACGTAAAATATGGACAAAATAATCGTAATTTACGGCGATATTGAGCGAAAATACTTCTTAAACGTAATTTACGTTCAGGTTTTTCTGTGTATAATTAACGAATCGTGGTAATAGCTAAAAAGCTCATCAACAGTAAACGAAAGAATTCCAGCGTCTCTATCAGTGTATACTGTAATCGCGGAGTGGAGTATTACCCGAGGGCGGGTAATATCCCTCACTCGGCTCTTATTTTCATTTTTTTATTCATTTTGTAAATCCTAGAAGCAGTTAAGTCTCTATAATTGAGAAATAGCACATTGAATAATCAAAAAAGCCTCGATTAATAAGGTTTGAGATGCAAAGTTAACATTTCCCCCTCGGTGAGTGCTACTGGCACACCCTCCCCTACTCATTCATACATTGTTGGAGATTCTCGTCTGAATTTTCAGTGTCCAATCCCAAAAAATTTTATCATGTCTAATTTTCACTGAAATTTCAGGAAATTTGTCATTGAAAAATTATATATTTCATTGATTTTGCTGGTCGGATGCTCTGAAAATGAATCAAATACTTGATTTTTCAGGGATCAGAACGATATCAATTTCAAAATAAGTTAAATTTTGTTTCTGTTAACTGATAGTATTACCCAACAATTTTCAATTACCAAATTAATCATCAATCGAATATTCATATTTCGAAATAATCTATCGACCAGAAATCGTGTCAGACGTTTGACCATTACATGTCTAATTGAAAAATCCTTTTGCGAAATTTAGATTATTTACTCAATAGTTAATAGAAAATTAAAATTATGAATGATTTTAATATTTTCAAATTTCAAGTAAAATAATAAAATCATAGTAATAGAAAGGTGCAAACTCTAATAATATTACAAAATATTACAAGTGTAATGATTGTCGACTAATCACTGGTTCAACTATTCCGTAAAAATTTGGGAAAATGAGGAAAATTCATGGAAAAATTCATGTTCCATGAAAAATTCAATCCAGTTGTGAAATTTCCGTCTCACTCTCTTCGAAAACTCATAAACTTCCATGAATTCTATCTAAAACATGAAACTTCATAACCATTTTTCCCCTAAAATAGATTCAATGTCCCTCTCATGAGAATTATTACGATATTTTCCATTTAATTTCGAAAAAATTTCGGACAGTGTAAACGACGCGGCTATCTCTTTACTTATCATTTCGATAAAAATTACCATCAGTCTTGTAATAACAGTACCTCAATTGATTTTCGTTTCAGAGTCATACGGAAATGGCCCATCATTCGTACGTCCTGTCGGCAATCAAACCGCAGCAATTGGTCGTGAAGCTGTGTTCTCCTGTTACGTACGGAATATCGGAAAATACAAGGTGAGAAGCACGCCCGCAGTTTCATTGGTTTCATCATTTGTTCGTAAAATGAGAAATAAGAGTGATACAACAACTAGGGGATACAGCAGCACCCGAGAATCCATTATTCCTGTCCTGGGGCTCCTTACGACGTTGATACGACACGGAAGACTCGGGGAAAACAAACTCTCACCTTCGTCCCCTCTTTCTCCGTCTACTTTTTCTCACCCCAATTCCCTTCAGCTCCAGGTGCTCCTCTTTATCCACGATTGCCATCGGTTCCAACACTTCCTCCTCGTTCTCGTGAGGTTATTGCCACGTACAATTCCTGTCTCTCCTTTCTTCCAATTTCTGTTGTTTTAGATTTTACGAGAAAATGGCTGCATTTTGGCGAACAGAATGTCCAATGGCGGAGAATCTTTTTGTCCTTTGAAGTGAAAATACACTTCTGGATTACGATATATCGCAGTGTATTCTCTTGATTATATACGCGTGCCGCAATTTGAACAGCAACTCGTTAGGAATTACACGGAGAGAAATATTCAGTACAGATTACGGAACAATTCACGTAATCCGCAATGGGGAATCGTTTTCCGGCAATTTTTATACGAATGTCACGTAATTTTTCCCGGAGAAGTAAAATCTTACAGAAACTTGTCGACTTATTATGCCTCCAAAATCAAAAATTCTTGAACGTTTAACAATTTTTATGAAGCTGATGAGTTATTTCTTCATTCCGTTCCGTAAAATTTCTCAATCGTTGGGGCAAAATTATGGAACGACTTGTTGTCCCCACAGCGGTGAGTCATCAGACGGGTGGTTAATTTTTATGGAACAAATCGTAAAATTTACGTGGCGATTCGTGCAATTTCAGATCCGACTCACCCCTTTTATTGATTTTTACTTCACTCGCGGGTTACCTTTCGAAACGTAATTTTTACGTTTTTTTTTTTGGTAATAATTTTTATTGAATTTTTCTCTCCGTGTAATGGGCTTTAATAATTAATGGGCGAGAATGTTATTACACTTTTAAAAACTTTGAGCTGAAATTTCCGGTACACTTTTTGGCAATTTTTGTCTTAATTTTATTCTATTGTAGTTCAAATGAAATTTCAAGGAATTTCCTCACTGAAAACTCAATTTTTTTTTTGAAAAATCAATGAGAACTGCAAAATTCAGTTCAATTATTTCCTGAAAATTAGTAGAAATCAAAAAAATAACGGTCAATATATTCTGCAATTTTCAATTGATTGAAAATTCAGCATAATTTGACACTGAATATTCATGTCTTCAAAATAACGATTCTATATGCAATACAAAGCAATTTCGCACTTGTTTTCACTGAAAATTGCTTGTTTTCTAACAGTGCAGAGGTAGAAAAATACACGGTGTCGCACTACTGAATAAACATACTGTGAGGGTAGCTCGGGGAGTTATTTGGAGACGGGAACTCTAATGAAATTTTTTTCTCTGACGCTTATTTAATGAGTTAGTAATAAAAAAAAATTGAAAATCAGCCTCAAGACGTTTATTTTTTCCAACAAAACAAGAACCAGCATTTCTTGATTTAAAAACACCACTCTCGATTGAAGAACTTTCCTCACTTCAAAAAAGTAGGTTTTTCATGCTAAAATTTAGAACCATGGGTTCCTTAAAATTCCTAACTCGAGTCTGACACTCAACAAAAATTACTTCTGATCAGTAGAAGAATTACTTTTAATCAGTACCAAGGGGTTTCATGGGGAAAAGCAAATTTTGTACTTCCTCCAAGTCACAAATGAACTGGATGCAAGTATCATGCGTCAAGTACCGGGGTACTGTTGAGAAGTACCTCAGTACTTGTCACAAGTACTTTTGTTACTCGGAACAAGTAAAAAAGTACTTGTACTGAGTACCTGGCTGGTTCTTTTCAAAAGTACCAACAGAACTCAATATAAGTAGCAATAGTACTCAATTCCATTTTCAAAAACGTAATTTACGATTTTCTCAAACGGGTAAATTACGCTTTTGAGATCGTAAATTATGGTCAGAATAACGTGAATTACGATGTCAAGAACGTTAATTACGATTCCCAAAAATGGAAATTAATTCGGTGTGGAAAGCACCCATAAAAATCACAATCTACTGATTTTTTCCTACGAAATATCTTCTCCTGAATACCTCTATTCACAGAAATGCTCAAGAAAGCTCATTTCATCCGTCAATAATATTCGCATTTCTCGAAGAAGTAATCAATTGAAAGTACTGAACTTAAGTCATAAAACTACTTGAGAGAAGTTCAAAAATGACTTTTCACCAGTACCTTTAGTACTTATGAAAAGTACTAAAAGTCTAGCAGAAAGTAGTGAAGCTACTTCCTCCCAGTACTACTTCTACTTAATCCGCAGAGGTGGTACTTCACTCAAGGGTACAAAAAGTACTTGGGACAAGTACTTTTCGATCTTTCCACAAGTGGACTTCCCGTACCGGTCGGTACTGGTGAGAACTACATTTTTCTTTCAGCGCGGAAACTCTTTTTCTCCGCAAAAAATTGAGGAATGCTCGGTGCAAAGCACTTGAATACTTTCAATCACCACAAAACCCTTCGATAATCCTGCCTCACTCAAGGCTCCAAATTCCCTCACACCTCCCCCCCACCCACTTCCATCAAATTGCAATAATCAGCTTCCAACAAAAACCCCAGCCTCATCCCTCCCTCAGCCCCTCATCAGTATTATCTCATCATTCCCTTAATCACCCCAATGTCCTAACCCAATTCCCCCCCCCTCCCCGCCCGCCGCACAAAAACATTCAAAATTAAACTGACGAAACAGAAGCTCCTGTAAACACGTTCCCATCATCCCGAAACATTGTGCTTTCTCGCATAATAAATTTTCACGTCCCCCAGGGGGTTACCAGTATAACTCGAAACTTGCGAGATAAGGAAAATACTAGTACAATACTGACAACTTGTCGGATAAGTTTACCGAGTAATTGCTATCCCCTATTTGCAATCAAATTGCATGCAAAGGAGGCTCATACACTAAATTTGGAACTGCGGATAGTCGGTTGAGGGGGTGAAATTGCGAAATTGAGAGCTGGCAGAGGAGAGAAGCGGTAAATCGGATTAATTGTAGATTATTGGACGAATGACGAGTTTGTCGTGTGGAACACGTTGTAGGTAGTAATTCAATATCGTAACCGAACGGTGATATTATACGTACGTACAAGTTTCCAGAGGCGGTCGGATAATATATGTATGAAACATTGTAGCTACGAGAGAAAGACAGATTGATATTGAGGATAAAGTGGAATGGGATTGGTGGATTGTGGTGCAGCGGCGGCGAGGGGGAAGCAAGGGGGACGCCTTCACGTTGACCTATATCACTTCTCTGCTGTTTTTATTCTTCTACCTGCCTCCTCCAATCATCGCTACATCAGTCTCAATGGACAAAGCACTGGCAAATACTAAAAATACCGTGCGTCATCTCCCGGAATTTTATGGCGGGAGTGAAAAAGAATGAAAGAGTTTTACGATGCTCGGTTTTTTAATTAAAAATTAAAAATAATAAAAGCTGGGCTTACGGTGGGAAAACAGTTAATTAAAATTGGAGGAAAGTTTTACTTGTTTTTTCAACTGGGAATTATTAAACGGGTGGTTTATGGATTAGTGGAGGTGAGGGATTCCTTTTTTTCTAGGGAGTGCGGTTGTGGGGACGGGAGAGAGAAGATTTGCGGGGTTGCGGGGGGATTTCGGGAATATTCAACACTTATGCACGATTATAATTTTTTATTAGGGGAGAGTGGGGTAAAAGGAACGACTTCACTATCAATGATTCGAGACTCGAATATTTTTGATACAGAAGATAAGAGTGGTTCGTTGCAGGACAGAATGTTGAATTAATTTTCTTGGCAGTGTTCACGAAGGGTTCCAAATTGTCAATTTCCAACAAATATCATGGATCTGTGGTTTTAAAGCTGCCGAATATGAACACAAAATGTTACATATGAGTATTTATCGCCTCTAGCTCAAGAAAAAAACTGCAATGAGACCCTCATATCCGGATCCTACTACCTGAAGGCTGTCGTAGTCATTCAAAACGAGAAAAGGACACTTCACGTCGAGCCGTCAGTGTGGACGCATCAAAACATTCAATCCATCAAAAACTTAAATTAATTGCTCGGTTTCAGTAAATACTCAAGTGAATCAACCTCAATTCAACTCAAAATTATAGTCAACATTTATTCTGCGTCATTGTATTCCACACTATTATTGTTACTAAATCAATTTATCGTGCTAGAATTCATCGTCCTCATTCTTTTCATCATGAAAAGCCTCAACTTATATGTAAAACAACTAAAGAATAATAAAATCAAACCAAATTCGAGTAATAAATCTAATTGAAAATTATTTAAATCTTGAATTGAACGAAGCTATTAATCACAAACCAAGAATGAATCTTTCAATTCCTTCCAAATTAATAATCTCGCTACATTATAATAATCCAAATCGACTTCCAGTGATGGAAATTTAGTACTCGACATTAAGACTCCAAATTAAGAGTCACAAGGGTCGAAATAAGGTTCATGAGGGCCAGAATAAGGGTTATGAAAATTAGAATAAGGGTCGCGAGGGTCAAAGTACTGGTCATGAGGGTCAGAATAAGCTCAACAAGTAGCAGATTAAAGGTCACAAGGGTCAGATTAAGAGTCACGAGGGTCAAAACAAGGGTCACATCGGTGGGATTGAGGATTACAAAGGTCAGATTAAGAGTCGTGGGGATCAGAAACTAAGGGTCACAAGGATCTCCACATATTTCTGTATATTATAAACATTCAAATCGACTTCTGATGAAAATTTGGTACTCGAAATTATGACTCCAAAATTGAGGGTCAAATAAGGGTCACGAGAGTCAGATAAGGGTCACAGGGGGGCGTAGCCTCCTAGTAAATAAACAATCATCTCATATTAGTCGCAATTTTTCCTGAGTGAGCTTAATTGTTAGCTCGGGAGGCGGCTCATGGTAGCGCAAATAAATATGAAGAGACCAGTGAGAGAAACAGATTAAGATAAACCAAATGGGGAGCTTATAAAATAAAAGCTTGGGAATAGTAGTAAAAAAATATGAATAAAAAGAAAAAATAAATGATAAAAAATTTTTTTTCAATAAATGATGTAAATATATTCAAATAATATATTTGTATGTCTAACCACTTCCTCCGATTCCATTTGTTGATCTAAGGTGGGCTGGCTGAGGGCATCAGACCAGACAGTACTCTCCTTGAATACACGAATAGTCACACACAACACACGTATATCAGTGACTTACGAGACGGGCGGCTGCTCGAGCACGTCAGATATTCCCATGGGTATTCACGGCGTGACCGGTAGTAATCAGGTGACGGACGAGGGAGTCAACTGCACGTGGAGACTACACATACGCCAGCTCAAAGAGACTGACAGAGGATGCTACATGTGCCAAATCAATACAGATCCAATGAAATCGGAGCTCGGATGTTTGGCGATCCTTGGTGAGACAACTCCTCATATTTCATACAACAAAATTTCGATGTTTATGTTTCAGTTATTGACGATTTTGTACCCCCGGTGACCCGCCCGTTGCGATATGCTTTTGACAAGAGCCACCGTAAATTTTCAGTGATATTTTCGTGACGAAGTTGCAGGAAAAACGAGATTGAATTGATTAGGCTGCTGAGATCGGATTGATTTGCTGCAGAGAAATTGTTTATTTTACTTGAATGAACTAAATATATATATTTGAATTAAATTAAAACATAAAACACGGATGACGGAAAGCACGGAAGCATAAAACACGGGTTTGTTATATATTTGAATTAAATTAAAGGGTTCATTCTAAGATCTCATAAATAAGCTGTTATTCACACTTTAAGTAGATATTTATTGGCGTTTTATTGACAACCTTTCCATATAATTAAAATCACGAGACGAGGACAGGGACATGTGTCAAATGTGCATGGGGACAAATGAACGAGCGTAGAGACATGGGACTTTCCACGTTTACAGACGATTGTTTATTAAAAAATAGTAATTATCATGATTAATATAAGTGAATTCTAATTCTGAAGTTTTTACTTTCTGTTATCTAATTTAAAACATCGCATCTATACACTCATTTCAACAGAAATATTGGACTACTGATGTGTTGAGACCATTTACCTCAGAGTTTTTATGAAACTCCACATATAATGAAAGAGAAATCTTGTATTGTTCAATGTAGTATTGATATCCATTCCAAGTCAAATATTGAAAAGCTCTCAAATGTGGAATATTAAATCGATCGATTCTTCAACTCCCATTTTTTTTTTCAACTCCAACTGCATACGAACTCCGGGCAAAATCAAACATAAAACATTGACAGATTCTGCCTGATTGAGCGAGTCAGTCTGGGAGATTTTGCCCCCTGTCATATATGCACAGTGGTTACTCTCGATGCACTCGAAATTCCAATATATTTGACCCTCGGGTTCAGCGTCATGTATAGAAATGCAAGTATGAGCACACACGACTGTAGAAAGCGAATATGCGAGTTGCATTGATTGGCTTCGAGTCTTCTCGGCAAATCTCCAGTTCCCTCCTCGTTCAGCAAATACATAGACACTGTGCTCTGTGCATATATGCATATAAATATGTGCTCACTCAAGCATCACGTACTCCAATATGTTATATATAAAGTGGACAATTGTTCAAATTCACGGATATAGTATTCGTGGTTGCTTGGAGGAGGTCTGAGAGTTTCGGGTTTTGTTATTTTACATTGTTATGAATTGTTGGCTTAAATTTCCGTTACCCTTCTTGGATGAAACGACAGTTTTAAAAGTAATTACTGAAATTTTTGGAGAATTATGTCGTTGAAAATTTACAATTTTAGGAGAAAATCAATGGAAACTATTGCATCGCGTTAACGATACTCCTCACAGTTTAAATAATTACATCATTGTAAAATAACCGGAAACTTGTGGTCAAATAGGACAATTCAAATGAAAGCTCTGCTGTTAGACTGCAAAAGTACACTGACAGAATAAATTAATTTTATCAAGAGAGTTTTATTTGAACCAATTATCATTTGATTTTTAATTGTCAAATTAACATGATTTCGTAGTGAATACCAGTTATCTCTTCGTGAGATACATTTTATTGGGAGAAATCGAACTTCTCTAGAATTGAAGTTCCTTTTATTTGTCGCAATAATGAGAGTATTTGATTTCTTCCTAGTCAAAACTTTGCTAACTCCAGAAATTCGTTGATTTACTCAAAAATTATTGATCAATTCATGAAAGTTGAAAATTTCTCGACTGGAGATTATATTACTTAAAAAAGAATAGAACTTTTCCATTTTTGTGGTGAATACATGTGACTTGACGCCAAGAACTGTTCTATTTCATTCAAGTAAATGTATCCTCCAGAAGAAATAAATGATATTCACCGTAAGATCTTATTTATTTGAAATTGGTTCAAGTGTATAATGCTTGCTCCAGGAAAGAAACATCTCAATAAAAGTAATTTTTTTCGATCAGTTGAGGAAAGCATTTCACTGAGGAAATAATAGCCAAAGTTAATTCTCAATTCATCACCATTTAATTCATTGATTGAGGTAAATTGATCCACTCATTATTCAATAATCACTGCCTCTCAGTTGTTATTTCCAATGTTATCGTGCTTAGTTGAACATTCCAAAGTAGATTTCATGATTGGTCGCATGAAATTGGATAGAACCTAGTGTGCAAGATCTAATTTCCTCTGCGAGCAAGCTATAGTCTTATTGATCCTATCTCATGCGGTACTAATGGAATCCCACCTCCGTCGATAAATCTCCTTTGGCTTCAATCATTCAGTGATCTGAATTCTCACGTGTAAATAGATACCCACTGGCTAGAGGGTTTAGCCACAATGTCTGGATATATTTGAATGGCAACTGACGTTATTGCCTGTCGAATTTGAGAATCAAATCAACTTTGTTCTTTTCACTTATTTGATTAATGTCTGTATTGGACATTTAATTTGCGGAGTGATCTGAAAGCACGTACATTTTTCGTCACGCAATTATAAATATGAAAGTGTCCGGGGGAGAGACCAATTTTATTGGCGACCCCTTCAGATTGTAGTATTATGAGTCAGAAATATCAGGAATGAAGACCGGGCATATCGGCCTGTTCTATAAGGGGTCCCGCAATGAGTAAGTCCGTTTTCCCTAAGAAATACACAACACGGAGAGAAATATTCACTAATAATTACGGAACAATTCACGTAATCGGCAGCGGGAAATCGTTTTCCGTCAATTTTTATAGGAATGGAAGAGAATAAATCTGAAGCGTTCAGTGAATTTTCAGGTTCATCACCGAACAAAGTACGAAATTGTCACGTAATTTTTCCCGAAGAAGCAAAATCTTACAGAAACTTCCCGACTTATTGTACCTCCAAAATAAAAAATTCTTGAACGTTCAACAATTTTTATGAAGCTGGTGAGTTATTTCTACGTTCCGTTTCGTAAAATTTCTCAATCGTTGGGGAAAAATTACGGAACGACTTGGGGTCCCCACAGCGGTGAGTCATCAGACGATTCGTACAATTTCAGTTCCGACTCACACTTTTTATTGAATTTTATTTCGCTCGCGGTTCGAAACGTAATTTTTACGTTTTTCTCTTGGTAAATTTTATTGAATTTTTCTCTTCGTGAAGAACACAAGAAACTGAGTTCTTGAAAGTGATTAACTACTAATAATTATTACGAAACTTCTGACCCTTACGGAAACTTCAGTAAAAATGTTTCAACAGAATAGCGGGAATTGCAGGCAAACACTTTCAACATAGCCCCTCATCCCTCGAATTTTCCGTACTCCATCATCACATCTTCAAGCCTTCATAATCAACCCAGCGTGAATGTGGAAAACCCCTCCCAGCCACTTGTCAAAAAGCAAACGAAATTATCCCTTTGTCACATGTCCACAATCCCGTAAATCAAATATTTAATCGCTTTCCTTCTCTGTTTACAGTGCCACCTGATATTGTTTATGGTGACGAGACCAGCAAGGATTTATCCGTATCGGAGGGTGAAAATGTCACACTCAATTGTCAAGCAACCGGTATACCAAAGCCACGAGTTTCATGGAAACGAGAGGATGGGCAGCACATTCTCATCAGGAATTCGACCTCGTTCTCAAGTTCCTACAGTTCGTATTCATTGTCTATGTACGAATTTCACAGCAAAGTCCTTTCCCATTCTACTGTCTCAAATCCCTGACTTTCAAACCTCCATTTTACTCATCCTCTTTCCACCTCTGCCTCCATTTACTCCCACACCATTCTCCAGTACCTATTCCTCTTAGCGCAACCCCAGGGCCTTCAACCCAGTCAGCCCTCAACACCAGAGACTAGTAATTTTCGGTTTTCCAGCGTCGAATCAAATCCCACCAACGGGATCACCGTTTTACGAGTTATTTCGATGTCTCGCATTCACCTATACTCTTGTATAGGTATACGTTGTGCAGAGCTTCGTAACATCTAAACCCCATTTCCCATCGTCTGTACGTCTGCTTTAGCTCGGAAAAATACTCGACAGTGGTTACCGTGAAATGGACCATCATTCTGTGCACAATTTTCAGGTGCATCCACATAACCGACATTATCACCTCGCGTTTTATAGACACCGGCGTGCATACATTTTGACTGAACCTCTTTTCCAGAACTGGAATTCACGATGTTTCGGCGGAAGGTATAAAAGCGAAATGGGATTTCGATTTTCTGGCGAGTGGAGATGCGGAGTCGAGCGTGTTCAGTTATGGGAATCGGTGATTTATGGTGGAGAATAAGTTCGGGAGGATGGAATGTGATTCTCCAGATGACAAAGCATGGATTAGGCTGGAATCATTTTTGGGGATTAGGTGGCTTGTCTCCCCCCCCCTCCCCCACAACCCTGAAGAAAATGCTAATTGCTTATAAAAAGAAAATTTGAAGTAGGTTCACTCGTTTCAGGATTGGGGACCAATTCGGTGTTTTTTGTTCGTTACGCAAAACAAGAGTTGTTTCGTCGTGGGATGTTTTCACGGGAAAAAATTGAAAATTTAAGTTGAAATTACTTGTTGTTATTAAATTTTTTTTTTTTTTTATATTCCGGCCCTTTCTGCCCACTGATTGGCTAATCGGCCCTATCCAACCCTATGCATGCGGCTGTGGATTCTACACTGCACCGCATTCGCACTCCTATAGAACATAGGAGTAGCATGGGAAACCACAGAAAACCCATGCCGGTACAGGCGGTCACTATATTAGCGACCTCCCGCTCGCCGGAGCCTCCGGTTGAAAAACTCGGTTCCACGGGGAATCGAACTCACAACCTTTCGCACACTAGGCTCGCACCTAGCCGCTTCGGCCACCGACGTCGGTTATCAAATATTTGCGTAATAAAAAAAGAAGAAAACATTTTCTCAGCCAATCCTGAGAAATACGAGTGCTTGCCTACATGCCTCACGACAACAATTACTGCTACAAAAATTATCATGTTTTGGTGGAAACTTTCCTTTTTATCCGCACGTAAATTGATTCAACACGACAAAAGATCGTTTCAGGGGCAAATTCTATCCATTGAAGCTCACGTATGGCAATTACGACTTCACCGTGAGTGACGCGCAATTCGAATGTCAATATAATCTCCCTAGCATCATGGGAGAGGTATAGGTTAGACAATGCAACTGAGAGAGAGAAAGCACTCCGCAGATTTACCTACTCGAAAAGTGTGCACCCTGAATTCTCCTCAGTTGCCATGAATAATTATACATCGCCCCCGCTGAGGAATCGTGAATAAAAATAAAACGTCACATTTTACAGTTTCTGAATTTTCCGGGGAAACGAAATTTATAAGACAAAAAAAAATTGGAGTGTGCGGTGAACAGCCGTGGAGCCCGGAATTATGGATTCTCCAGTGAAACGTCAGCGAAATTTTCGATTCCGTAATGTGGCTGACAGCCCCCTTTTTCATGCACCAAGTCGGGTAAAATGACAAAACTGACATTTAACCATAAAATAGATTCCTCAGCTCACAGGTGCAATGTCCCTTAAAACAAATATTTTTTTGAGACGGAATTTCTTTTAAACGGTAAATCCATTTAACTGATTCAATTTTATTTGACGAAATCCAACACCTTCACAGAAAAACCGAAGCGTAAATTAGGTAAATTGACAAAATAAACTTCTTTAACATTTAAAATGATTTGATTTGTTGATCGGAGTCGATCAACAAATCAAAAGTATTCTCTCTACCTCGCACTCTTCTGCGCGCGAGGGGAAATTGTCAATTTTCTCAAGAAATATTTTCCTCACTTGAAACCATTTCTCTTGCTCTCAAAACCCTCGAAGAGGTACCAACGTGGTGAAAAAAACATCTCGAGCATCTCGCAAATGTGATTAAAATCCAACTGAATAACCACTCGTGTCACCAACTATTTCCGTCAAAACTCCCGGAACCCCTTGGGATTAATCAATTTCAAGGCAAACACGGAGTGACGAAAAAATTGAAGCACCTCTAAAAATGCTGAAAGAACTCCACACGAACTTTGAAAAGAACATCTCAAGTGTGATTAAGGCTGTTTATATGTTGCATTCCAGCTAGCTCTCGGAGATTGGGATTCCCCTAGCAGGGTGTTCGAAAAAGTTCGGTAACTAGGGGATTCGACAACGTTCAATTCCACTTTTTTCGTGACATTTTTCCGAAATAATTCAATTTAACCAGTCAGTACTCGCACTATGTAATATTCATAAATCAGCAATATGTGGGAAATGGAACATTTTGTTACTCTCTCTATTGAAATGAGTGTAAAGATGCGATGTTATAAATTAGATATTAGAAAGTAAAAACTTCAGAATTAGAATTCACTTATATTAATCATGATAATTACTATTTTTTAATAAATAATCGTCCGTAAACGTGGAAAGTCCCATGTCTCTCCGCTCGCTCATTTGTCCCCATGCGCGCCTGACACATGTTCTTGTCCTCGTCTCGTGATTTTAATGATATGGAAAGGTTATATCCAAACTAATTACACCGTGAGTATCCTATTTGGGATAAAACAACATTAAAAAATATCTCGAGGCACAAACTTATATTTCAATTGAACAGTCCAAGTTTTTAAATGACAAGATCTATGCGCGCGCTGATCTATTCATTTGTTGAAATGAAGAAATGGAATTCATTGAATTTCATTTTCTCATGAATACCTTATAAATATTGATAATGAATCAAAGAGAATTCGACTAATGATTGGAGTGAATAGCGAAGTAGAGTAAAAGAATCTATAAAGAATTTTTCATTTTCAATTAATTATCTTCAATTTTTTAAAATAATCGGTCTCCATAAAAGGACAGAATTTATTAATTTCACCGATGATATATATATGAAGTGAAAAAAAATTGACCACTGAAGAATTTGAAAATGCCGCGTGTTTTTTTTGTGAATACCTTCGTGTCACATATTGACCAATCAGAATTAAGGATTAGCGGTCCGGCAGTTTCGAGATATTTCGATATAAAACAACTTCACGTTTCTTTCATCTTTAGTAAAATAGGATTTTTTCATCCGTTTAGTCCGTTACCAGTTGACAGTCGGTTGCAAAACGAGCATAGGATCAGTGTCATTTCAGGGATGGCCGTCAATATTACAATCCTTCAATATTAAAAGAATTCCCGACTTACATTGATGAAGGTTTAAATATACTCATCGAAATTGAAAACTAGTAAAATAATTCAGTAGTGAAGCGGTAAACCGAGTTAAGTCGATTTTGACTATTAGCCAGTTTTTGCTGAATATCTCGGAATCTAAGAGAGATAGCAAAATTTTTCTCATGACTTTTTTTATAACGCTCTATTAGCTCTACAAAAAAGGTCATGACAAAAATCTTTCTATCTCTTTTAGATTCCGAGATATTCGTCAAAAACTAGCCAATAGTAAAAAACGACTTAACCCGGTTTACCGCTTCGCTACTGAATTGAAATCTAAATTTCCGATTGATGATGCATTAAATAATTGATAATATGGAACGGTAAATTTTCTATTAATTAAGTAATACTAATTTCATAAAAGGAATTCTCGATTAACCCAATAATCGTCAATCTTCCTACCTAAATTATTGATTAATAAAATAAGTCGGAATTTAAGTACTTAAATTGATGATTACTTGAATAATTGAAGATTTAAGAGTGATATTAACAGATTGAATACTTCAAAATTAAACAGTAATTCTGATTTATGGATATGGCTATCCCTGTGCCATTTCCATTGTACCTATTCTTTTAATTGTCGAAATTTCTGTGAAATATTGAGATATTACTATAATTTATGCATTTTTATTATTTTGTTAACCATCCGAAACCTCAGTCAAGGGATATTTAATCCTATTTTTATTTATTTTTAACGAAATTTGTTGCAAGTTCGAGAACTTGCAACTGGCCATCGCCCGAGGGCCTTCAGCCAGGTATTTACAATTTAGTATGCAAGGATTTCAAATGGGGTATATATCTTTCAAATGTTTCACAGTAAAGAAAAGTGGTAGAGATAAATAATCAAAAATGAGGTTTCACAGCATACGGTATGGGATGAGAATTTAATCCTATTTTACTATTATAAAGAAGATATTAACATTTCAAAATAATGAGTTTCTTAACTTGCGGCTTAAGAATTCACTCTGTCGTAGTACCAGTTGATGTGAATCGGATTTTTCCCTCTTATTCCTCAATAAATCACTGTTCCTTGGTGTCTATAACGTTCCTTATTAACTAAAATAATAACTCCAATCGTATTTCACTCTTGATAGACTCTCCGGACTCTCAAAATGATAAAAATGTAATAGCTAACGAGATATCAGCCTCAGTTTCCGACCATTTTTTCTATAAAACGATTCTTGAAAAAATTAAATTTAACACATTGAGTATCCATGAGCATTCAATTTCTTTTCCAAAAGTATAATAAATTTCGTCTCCATCAGAGACTGCAAGCTCCGTCGTTTCACCTCTCCCCTTTTTTTTCAATCTTTGAACTTGTGGGCCGTACATCCAGCGGTGTGAACTCTGTACGTGGAGAGGCAAAAAGGGAGAGGTAAGGTGAAACAAAAAAAAAATTTAGTGAAGAAAATAAAAAAGCAAGGGGAATAAAAAGGAAAAGCGTAAAAAGAAGCACGACCGC